TTGGGGGTGGTATCATTAGTATCTTATCTTGAAGAAATCTCTTGAAGAGGATATCTCAAATTGCCAACCCTAATATCACTCCACCATTACATCAAAATTAAAAGAATAATGGAGCCAAGAAAGGAGGGAGCAAACCTTTATCTGCCGAATAATGAACTAATGGTTGAGGCTGTAAATCCGTAGTCAACAATCAACGCAAAAAGATGTGATCATGGGATGCATTTATTTTATCAGTTCTTTCGACATTAATCCAGAATATTTAGATTCCTGACTTTCCATAGTTTTTGTGGGAATTCACATGCCTGAATCTCCAAAATTTTGGCATCCCTTGTATATACATGCAAGTACAATCTTGTACCCCTTCTGATCTTTTTTTCATTTTCCTTGTTTATCATATTTTGTATGATTTTCGTTTAAACCCAATGTGGTTCTGCTTGCAGGTATTCTGGTTGCTTATGTTGCATTTGGGGACAGTAACATCAAATCTAGAGCTGAAAGATTCTTAAGTAGTATCACAAACTCAATCGAGATTGTTCTCAGGTGCAATGTAGAAGTCCGAATAATCCTCTTGCCAGATGGTGATGTTTTGAACTCTCTGGATTCAGTTGACTTACCATTGATGAAACAGACACGAAAAATTGTGGGAACTGATAAGGACAAACAGATAGTTTACACAAATGACATTGATGGTTTTTCTGACTTAGTAACATGTCAGGAACCTCGGAAAGTAACTAGAGGGTGTTCTAATAATTTAGAAGGTACTCTCAAAGATGCAGGGGAAGGAACCTTTAAACCTGCTGCTCAATCACCCAATTTGCTGACTGCGGGTAATGATGAAAGTAGTGATACACAAGAAAGTGGGGAAAAGATCCCAATGCAGAGAATAGAATCCATAATCCGTGAGCAGAGGTTAGAAACAGCCTGGTTACAGACTGCTGAGAAAGGCACTCCTGGCTCGTTGAACCGTACAAAACCTGAGAAGAACCAGGTACTGCCTCAAGAGGGCATCTACCGTAGAAGTCGAATGGGATCAACGAGTTCATCAGGGTTGTCCTCACAACATCGGGAAGATGAATTAAATAATGAACCCAAGGTGTTGGGAAGCGATGAAGGAAGATTATTGCATAAGGACGAGACTGTTAAGAAGAGTGGTCACCATGCCATGTCCCCAAGCTTATTACATGATCTCAGTTTTGCTGACCATTACAACAAAGACAATCTGTAAGTCACTTTACCTTGTTAGAGATTATAGCTTCTCCCATTTTTTTACTTGGATAGGCAGAAAAAACATCAAACTTCTGTTTCTGAATCCTGAGACATACTTCAAAAATATAATACAACACACCTCTTGCTTATTCTTGGGACTTGGTCTAGTGGATATGAATCAGGATCCGGAACAGGAGGATGCAGCGGACTTTTCTGTTGGAACACTAGAAAACCTCCAAGAAGAGGGAAGGTAAGTTGTTGATATATTTACATCCTCACATTTTGGCGAACCGGGTTTCAATCTAATCAAGCGTGCCTGAATTCTGAACGTAAACAGGTTAAGGGGACCACTGTAAGACCACGAAAAAGCAGGAAATTCTCGTTGTTTGCTGTCTGTGGGAAGACAAAGAAGACAGAAAGCAAACCCAGAAGATAAAAATGAGAAAAGTTAAATGAGCTCGGATTCCTGAGTATGTAGTCTGCCTCTTTAATATGCATATAAACATTCTTTTTCTTTTTCTGTATTTATTTTTCTTATTGAAGCCATTTTTTCAAGGATGAAGCACAGGAAGGTTGGATTTGAGGATTTGTTTATCTGCACCAGTTTTAATTATTATTATTATTTCTTTGGAATGAATAAAGAAAAGAAGAAATGGGAAACCTTGTTTGTTCAAGGACTAAGAGAAAGATGTCAATGGCTTCAGTTTCTTCCATATAAACCTTGATCTTGGATTGCCAACATTGAGTTAAATATTCCCAGGCATTTTTATGGCTATAAGTAAAAGCAATGATGTGCATATAATATTATATTTGTAATTTTGTGAATAGTTAGCAAAGAATATTGGGGTGATAATTTGAAGAAAGTTCAAAACATAAGAAGCTTAAGGTGTTAAAACTCAAGAGTGATTTTTTTTGTTTTAATTAAAAATTATTTTGATTAAAACATAAAATATTGGGGAGGACAAGAAATTCCTTTGATAAAAGAGTAATTTGAGAAAAAGCATCAAAATAAAAGAGCCTAACAATTATTGTGCGAGCTAAATAAAAATATGTCTAAAGGGTTTTTTTTTTTTTTTGGGGAATTGAAAATAAGCGTAGTTTTGGAGATTCTCGAATAGGTTTGACTTCTCGAATTACTACTGAATCCATGAGCAAGCAAGAGATAACTTGGTGAATTGAAACATCTTAGTAGTCAAAGGAAAAGAAAGCAAAAACGATTTCTGTAGTAGCAGCGAACGAAATAGAAACAGCTTAAACCGTAAAAACGAGATTGTGAGAGAACAATAAAAGTGTCGTGCTGCTAGGCGAAGCGGTGGAGTGCTGCACCTAGCACACCCTAAATGATGAGAGTCCAGTAATTCAAAATATCACTAGTTTATATTTGAACAATATATATATATATAAAAAAAGAAGATATCTTAGTTCAAAAAAGGATTAAAAAAAAAATTCTATTTAAAATAAAATCGGATTGCGAATTAAAAATGAAGAAAATTAGAAAAAAAAATAAATTATGAATCAAAAAAATGAAAAAATTGTTCATATTGTTCGTGCCTTTACGACAATAAAATTTGCGCGCAAGCGGATTCGAGTCAAGAAAACGAAAAAGGATAAAATAAATTATACAGATTTTTTTTATTTAAAAAAAGAGTATAATTACAATTGAATTTTATTTTTAATCACTATATTTTATGTATAGAAATATATAAACAAATATATATATATAATTTAAAGAAAACTATATGTAATTTAAAGAACACTTTGCCATGCCATAACATTCACCATCTTTCACCACCTTTTAAGGAGAGTGTTAGAAACTGTATATCATGTGTAATTAGGGTAAAACTAAGATAAAAGAATATAATAATAAATATTGTTAAATTTTCTTTTCTTATAAAAAAATTATATATACATATATATATATATATATCTAAGTTCATGTTGTTCAATAAAATACATAACATTCCATTCTTCCTTAATAATCAATAGCTCAAAAATCCCAGACACCCTTCAAAACAAACAAACTGCAAACAAAAGGCATGAAGAACTGAACCAAAATAAAAATGTTTTATACATTACTAAAAACATGTATTTGTAAATGATCAAGGCCACATGTCACATAAATATATAGACTGAAATAAAAATATGACAAGACAAATTCTCCTTTAGTATTGTACAGTATAACAATATAAAATTTCAAGAAACAATTGAAAAGCATGAAAAGGAACAAGTATGAATTGATTTTATAAGCACCGAGGTTCTCTTTGTGGATTGCCGATGATCGTTGACTTTGTCATCTCCGGAACATGATCTGATTTCACAATCGAAATCTACGAGTGCTTTCTTTCTTTTTCAGAAGAATTCATTTACCTTGAGAGATCCTCCTGAACTCAATTCATA